GGTTCAGTGCATGGCCTTGGGCCTGCCCTGCCACTGGCAGTGGGAACCCCAGCCAGAGGGGCAGAAAGTGGGGGCAGAGGAGCAGTCATTTTAAAAAACAAGGTAGACATGGTCATGAACAGTTGCTGTGTAAAAGGGAGGCAGAGCATTTGAAGGGTGCCCCCTTGGCTTGGGGGCCAACTCCTTGTCTGAGGAGTGACACAGGTGAACACAGAGGATTTGGGTCATGGGACAGAATGAAAGGAACATCCTCTGGTTCTGTGCCTCTCCACTGATGGTAAAGGGGGAGCCTCTAGCAAAGACGGTCTTGTGTAAAATCAGGATAAATCTGGCCCTCACCTCCCTTTGAGGTCGAAGCAGATAGTGCCCAGTCCAGTGCAAATCAAGGCTCTACGGACCAATCTGTGAACTGGCAGAAAACAATATGCAGTCACCGACTAAGTGAGGTCCTCATTCATTTTCATGAGATGAGATACTGTCCCTATCAGTTAATGGCATGATGGTGGCATGCTGTTACATGTGTGTTTTGCTAAACATATGACACTGTTTCATATCTGTGTCCTAATGTTTATCAATGCTGTCACTTAAATAAACGAATCCTCTTACTCTGTTTTTCCAGCAGTGTTGATAGCAAGTGCATTTACAGAAATTTCCCTTATTTCTTAAGTCAGATTGCATAAGGCTTGAAAGTGTTTTCTGCCTGGGGGTTTGCCTCTGGTATAGGCAAGATGGAATTACTCTAAAAGTTCCTTGCTTTATTCCATAGATTATAAATGATGACTCCTCTTTGGTTAGTTACATTTTTATGTCCTAAATAAATATTGTGTATATCAAGAGCTTTGGCATTACCTTAAGTATTTCCTGCATGTAGTGGAGGGAATTTGGATTGGAAAGTACTTATAAAGGAGTTACTGATACATTAAATAGTAGAATCGAGCAGAAAGTTGGATGGAATTTTGCATTCTCTGGCTTCTTTAAAAGTGTTTTCCATAGAGAAGTAATTAAATACTTTTAACAAAAGAAATGGTAAAGATTAATTACAGAAGTATAACGTCCCTGCTTTTATCAAACGACAGCTGACAGCACAGCTTCCTCACATTCTGTAGGTGGTGGCTGGTATAGTCCTGCGGATAATGTTAATTTCTTTTTCCATAAAATAAAGATAGAGGCTATAGCCAAGTGAGGGGAATAAGATGCTCCAATTGTTGATCATTCTTTGCGCAAGACTAAGCCCTGAGGTACAGTAGTGTGGTACCACTTAAATCGCTGGGCTTTCCAGTTGATAGACTATAGTTGTTTCCCTGTGAATGAAGGCTGAATTGTGATATTTAGAAAAGGTAGGTGGTGTTTCCAGATGTGTTCCAATCTGCAGGTTGTATTGAGTTCTGTTATACCATTGCCATCAAGAACAGCTTTTGGCTCTCAGATTGCTGGCCTCACTCTGAATTTCACTTATTTACTCAGTGTTGCTGTTCTTCATGGCGGAAAACTCACATGAACTGATGGGCTATTTTGTTATTTTATTGGGGAGTGGGGTTTGTATCCTTCCATCAGCTGTTTACAAGAACTAGTAATTTGAAAATAAAATTCCACCTGAATTTACAAGGGTAAAAGCAAACACTTAAAAATTCTTCCTCCACGGTCCTCAAGCAACATATATGTTCCTAAAGAGTGTATTTTGAAGGTATTCTGAAGGAGATGAGTTGTCAGTACCATTGAAGCATTACCTTAAAACTTGAGGGTTTTTCAGTATGCTGTTCAGTTTGTTGTTTTCCTCAGTGTGCCGTTGAAGAGCTCTCTCCTTAGTTCTGATTCTGACATGATAATTTTTCCTGCCTCCTCCTAGTAACAAAGACAGTATGTGCAGAGCAGTGTGATGGACGGTGCTATGGGCCCTATGTCAGCGACTGTTGCCACCGGGAATGCGCTGGAGGCTGTTCCGGACCTAAAGACACTGATTGCTTTGTATGTATGAGACTTCTCATTTTTCTTTTTCCTGGCAGTCACACTGCAAATTCTTAATGCTTTAAACCATGAAATTCAAAATTTTGTCCCTTTTAATGTATTGCATACACACACACAGGTTTAGACCGCAAATTTTAGCATTTAATATTTTTCACATTAGGTTAATATCACTTACCTACTTAATATTACCCATTAACAGATCTACGAGATTTGTAAATACTGATTGGGAATCATTAATATGCTAATCTCTGTGGTTTTTATCTTTTGCTTTTCTAAAATTAATTTTTAGAGGTGATAGGGAATTTTTAGAAGTATTTATCATTACATTTGAGCATGACTTTTATTACTGCTCTGTGTGCTTTTTATTTGAAAGTCAAGAATACAATTTAGCTTCTCTGTGAAGGGTGTTCCCTATTACTGTCAGAATTCATTTAAATTCAGCTTTTTTACTGGGCATGCTTCTTAGTGGAGATGGAAGGAAAGTGGTTTCTGAAATACTCTACCTCAAATGCATGCTACTGTGTGCTTAAGGTCAAAAGAGGAAAAGGCTAACTTCTTCCTTAAAAACCAGGCAATCTGGACATACAGGCTTTTAGACAAATTTGTCTTGTTTGTAGTCTCTTATTTATAAAGTGTAAGCAGCTTAACAATCCAACACTGATCTTAATCTTTCCCTGGATGGACCTGAAACTTGCTCGCTGTTCAGATATTGTTTGATAGTTGTAGGTGTTGTGCTTCAAAAACACATTCTAAATGCTATTCTTTCACTGCTGATGAAATTGGGTGATGGCCTGACTTAACTGCTAATAGGTTTTACTAAAGTTGTTCTTTGTGGCTGGGGCTTTGCACAACCAGATATTCAGCACACGTGGTACACCTGATCCACACTCACTGGAAGTTCTATGTTGGCTTTGGGCTAGAGAGATGGGAAAATAACATTCTTTCACATGTCATATACAAACTAAATAGGTAAAAGAAAGAGGAAAAATGCAGTTACTGTTCCCATATAACTGTTGAGGAACATCCTCAAAGCTTGTCTATGTCCATTTTCAAAGGTTAAGGACAAGTTATTTGCAGCATAAGTCCTGTAATAGCTGTAACCTGGAGAAAATGAGTTAGACTTTCTGAATTGTGGCAGTTAGTGAAATACGTATGCTAAAAATCAACTAGCGTTTTTGTTCTGATCCAGCAGAGAAGCACCCAAGGCTTTCTTCTCATCCACTCCTGGCCTGAGAGCAATGTAAAAGAAATTCAGCAGGGGTCTGGCAATTTTCAGGACTAGTCATTACTTGCGTAGTACACGCCGGGTGAAAAGTGTAGCCCTTTAGGCTATAGACAACTGTGCTGTTGATACTCAGTCTATATTCGGCTGAGATACAGAACCTTGTTTTTTCCCTGTGTATTTTCCTGTGCTTTCATTCACAAATTAGCGGCATTTAGCACCAAATGCTAGAATTTTGCATATATTATCCAAACAATTACAAATGTACACAAACATTATGGTATTGAAATTGAAAGTTCCCAAATCATCTAGATGAGCTTTTCCTGAGACGTGCCATTTCTCCAAAGAGTATTGGTGTGCTTTACTTTATAAATTTGCTAAACTGTTACCAGAGAATTGTCATGTTCGCGATAGAGTACCTTTTAAGTCAACAGCAGATGTAAAAAATGTGTTGAGGAAACAAACTAAATTAGTATTTATTAATAAGCAAAAGCACAGTTTATGAAGTACTACAAATCCTTTTGTGTATTATGGCAGCTTGCAACAGCATCCTGTTGTAAATATGATTTTAATATTTCTAGATAAAATTCATCTATCTTGCTCCATATGCTGCCATACAGTTATTTGCATATTCAGTTCTAAAAGCAAGACAATAATCATTATCTGACATAACTGCAAGCAAACATGCTAAAACAAAGTTTGAGAGATGTTCTTATCTTGTATTTAAAGCCAAACTGGATCTAGAGCTTGAAATGCATAGGAGGGCCTGGTTGAGCACCCAATGGAACCAGAAAAGTGATAACAACCCTATTGGTAGGGCAGACTTCCCAGCCAGTAAAGAAGTGACTGACTGTATTTATCTTTGTAAGAAGAAAAAAAAAATCTGGTCTGAGAGAAACGAACAGTTTTTGTAATATACATCTTGAAGACACATAAAAGAAAGGATCAGCAGTTTGGCTTAGCTCATGGTCTATATAGGACAGTGCCTTCATCATGGAACTCCCTGTTTGTCCCTTTAGGCAGCAGATTTTGTCCTCTCGTGGGTACATTATTAGTCTCTCCCTTCTGAAATCTTTTGATATGACAGGTAACTCCCTGAGTCCTGCTGGTCCTGATCTGAATGGAGATAAGGACTGTTAGTAAAAGCAGCAGAACAGAGGAATCTTGTTCACTTTTCTCTCAGTCCCAGCCCTGGTGGGGAGGGGACACAATATACATGTTGGTGTACTTGTTGACTCTAAAAGATTCAAACCCATCTGTATTTTATTACAACCTGGAAAAGGACCAGAAGGATTAATCTCTAGACTAAAACTCCTGAAGCAACCTGGCTTCTGGAAGACAGGTTAGTCGGGAAGCAGAATCCAGTAGCAGTGGTGGCTTAAACTGCTGGAGGGATCCAAGCCAGGCTACAAATTTCATATACATATGAAATTTGACATTTACGGTATCCTTTGTGAATATTACTCCGACGGGTTTTTTATACACTATAGTTAAAACCATAGACACGATATGTGGTGACAAGGAATGTCAGAATTGGTGAGGTTTTTCTATTACTAATTATCAGCCTTGCATGGTCAATTATTTTCCCTGCATACCATTACTTTCTTTATCCACACACTTGCCTCTTCATTTGTCAGGGCCCTGTCCTCTGTCAGCTGTGGGTGGCTGAGTTTGAATGCTAAGTGATACAAAGTCCTATTTTCTTTTCTCAGTGTGTGAAGCAACTGACCTTGTTAAACTTGCCACTTAGGGAAATTACCTCCTCCTGTGCTAGCTCAAAAGAAGTTCTTATCCCTCTTGCTTTCTAATTGGGAATTTCAGTTTTCAGCTGGACGATGGACTTGCACTGTAGCAAACCTAAAGGTTGGACCCCTGAAAAAGTCATTAGCATTTGTTTAAACTGACTATGATAAATAGCTGTTCACTCTTGGCAGTTTTAAAATGTCCTATTGAGTTGTGAATTAATTGATTGCTAGTAGTAACAATAGTTATGAAACAAATTACAGTGTTGTTATGTTTTTGTAGGAATTGCTGTAACAGTCACTGTGCTTCAAATTAAGGGGGCTCAGTAAGACCCCTTATAAAAAAGTCATGCATTTGCCAAGATCCTAGCAAGAAATCTAGGTAGCCAATGTGAAGGTTAGAAAACTATATGTCGCATTCCTCACTGTTGCAGCAAGTCTCAACAATCAAGACTGTTTTTTTTTTTTTTTTTTTTTTTAGTTTAAAATACAACAAAAAAACACCAAAAAACCAAAAGCAGCTATATGATTTAATTTAATATTTTTTCTCCCTTGTTTTACAGGCTTGTATGAATTTCAATGATAGCGGTGCATGTGTCACGCAGTGCCCCCAGACTTTTGTATACAATCCTACCACCTTCCAACTGGAGCATAATCACAATGCCAAGTACACCTATGGGGCTTTTTGTGTCAAAAAGTGCCCACGTAAGTGCTATGATTGCTGCCTTTTACTGCAGTGATGGGGAGTTTGAGTTGCATTTCAGGAGCCTTAAAAAACAATGAGAGAATGAGAGCTAAGTGCATTAGTGCAGTATCTCAAATGTCTCCACATGTGTTAACTAAAGACAGTGACATTCTGGGTCGCTGACACTTTCCAAGTATCCTGTCTTGTAGTGATTTTCTTAAAGAAAGGGAATTCACTACGTTTCTATTTTCATGACCACCACTTGTTACATTCATGCTTTAGATCAACATTTGTAAATTTTGGAGTGACCTGTTAAAATAATTAGTGGGATTGTAAAAGGGTAGAAATTTCTGGTTCAGAAAAATAAGCCCACCAGCAGTACTACCTGGTACCCAATGCTTTCATGATACTGATGCCCTTTTCTGAACTGGGAATAATGATGGTTTGACAGAAAGTTGCCATAAATATTTTCTGAGCAGTTCTGTCACAATGAGGAAAAAACATGCAATACTGACAACAATACAGTCTTAAAGCTGCAGAGTAAAATTAGAGGGGAGGAGGGAGTTAAAAAAAGAATAATCCCATGCATGTAAAAAACACATGCCAGATGATGGCCAGATTTGAGATGTAACAAAAAAATTTAAAGGGTCGTCACTTACATAGTTTTTGATAACTGCTGTTTTAGTTGGAAAGAAAAATAAGTGAGACCATATTCTTGCTCTCCCTTTCTTTCCCGCCAAGGTTTACAGTTATGGTGTGCAGTAATTATTTTATACATAAATTACATATAAGAAGGATGAGTAATCTATAATAAATGGAAACATAATTCAACCCCCCAAAAAATATCCATATTTTGAATCTCTGTGGAGAAGTTCAGATTGATGGTAGGCTGAGGCTGTGCCTTTCAAGGCTTAGTTCTGTCTCTAATAGAGTAGTGGGTCTTTTGAAGCAAGATAATTTTTTTTACAAAATTGGCATACCATACACTACTTAAGGGATATAATTCTTTGTCCTAATACTTCATCGAAATTTTTTTTTCCTTTTTTTTTTTTTCTTGACATTATTAATTTTCAACTAGATAGGATCAGTCTATATCCCCTTTGTCAGTTGTTTTACAAGGTGAAATTGAAATACTTGTCAGTCTTGTGCAGTGTTTTATCCCAGATGTATATACTTGTGTATGTAAGTAGATTCCCTCCAATTACTCTAGCTCTTTTTACCACAAATAATGATAAAACCAAATCGGGGGAGGATGGGGGGATCAGGTCTGACAATTCATGGATTTTTGTAAGTCTCTGAAAACATGCCTAATTTGCTTGCTTATACATTTCTGAAAACACTGAACATCAAATCTTAATGTCAATGTGAAAGTGCTGAGGTAATTAATACTACAGATTGACATAGAGTCCAAAAGCATGTGTCCCAGCATTATTTATGTATCTGCCTTTTTTTTTTTTTTAATATCTTCTTTTTCTCTTCAGACAACTTTGTGGTAGATTCCAGCTCTTGTGTCCGTGCATGTCCAAGCTCCAAGATGGAGGTTGAAGAAAATGGTATTAAGATGTGCAAGCCCTGCACTGACATTTGTCCTAAAGGTAGGCAGTAGTTTAGTATAAATTTTCTTTAATGTCTTCTACATTGTTGTAGAACAGAGCAGGGTGTTACTTTGGCATGAAATACCCTTCATGAGCATGTTGTAGAATATTGATAGCCTTTGGATAGCCACAGAACTTTGAGCTATGTAGGCTGTGTGTGACGTATATAAAATAGAATGAAAATTTGTTAAGTTGTAATGGTGATATAACCAAACCAATTACTTTTGATTACATAAAAATGAAGGGGATTTCTCTGTTGCTTTTAGAGAAATCTGAAAGAATTCTTTATTATGTAATTTTAATGACAAGTATTTCCTGGAAGTTTTTTAGAGCTGTCCTTTTGCCATTCCAAAAGGGGCCATACTAACGCCCTGGCTTCAAAGTATGGTGTGTCTCATACTTGTCAATACAACATTAGGTTTCCATTTATTTCCTCTGTTTTTTTTAAAAAGTCTCTGTTTTCCCAGAATCTTCTACCTCCTTTCTAAGTGTCTAAAACATAGACTAGAAGTTTTTCATTGTTAGTCCTGTTGAGAAGACTGAAATCTATAGGTTACTCTGCTGTTCCAAGCTCCAATAGGGAGACTTCTGCTCCCTACTTGATGGTCTCAGGAGCAAAGCACCATCAGTTTTCCCTATGCCATTTTTCAGTCCTAGTGGAAGCCATATCTGGAAGGGAATTCACAATGAATCTACTGAGAAACTCTGTAACATCACTCCACATGGCTGAAACAGTCAAACACAGAGGTCGCTGCCAAGGCAGGGTACTGACATGCTGAATTCTAAGTGAAGGCAATGTCCAGCTCTTTAACCTAATTGCAGTAAATAACTTTTTTTCTGGATAGATAGTTTTATGAATGCAAATGCATGTGTAGTGTTCCTCTCAAGCTCTTAGCCTTCCTCTGTGAGGAGGAAAGTTACCACATTTGTAAAAGGTTCGGGTGTATTGCTGGTAGTTGCTATTAGAGGAGCCCAGTAGGGAGATGGGATGTGTCACGTGATGGAAGTCATGAATAATTTGTTCCTGTATGCATCATGGGTCCCGGAAAAAACAACTAAATTACATAGAAAGGCTATGATAAGTAAAGATGATAAGTAAAGAACTATTTGTACGTCCTTTCTAAAGAACCTTATGACATATGAATGATTAAGTTCACAAATCCACCAGAACAAAGGGGACCTCTTGAGCTAGCAGTGTTAGGACCCCTCAGTTTCCACAGCGAGTAGTGCACACATAAATGGCATGGCAAAAAGGCTAGTCTGAGCTAAGTTATCAACTATCTGTTTACAGCTGGCTTGAGTGGGTTTTTGGGTGGTTCATACTTGCCTTTAGATCCAGTGTGAAATACCTTAACACAGATGTCCTTCTGTGGCGGGTACTTTAGCTTATTGTTTGTTTAAATTGTCACATACTTCTTTGGGAATATGGATAAAGGGTGCTGTTTTAACACCTCTCTGCTGCTTTATCTCTGAAAGAAATGAAGACTCATGTCTGGAAGGCCAATGTGTGCCGATTCAGTAATTGTTTTTCCTAGTTCTTTAAACAAACTCTTTGTTTTGGCAGCATGTGATGGCATTGGAACAGGGAGTTTAGTGTCAGCTCAGACGGTGGATTCCAGCAACATTGACAAGTTCATAAACTGTACCAAGATCAATGGCAACCTTATCTTCCTTGTTACTGGGATTCATGGGTAAGTGACAAAATGTTAAGACGTTATGTCATGGTGCCAGCTGAAATGAATTGCGTCCACCTCTTAATGATGGCTGCAGGCTTCTTTTACAGAATAGCAGAACCAGGATAAATTAGTTTTCTGCCTTCCATTATGAAGGAAACTGTTACTGTGATTCTTATGATTCAACCTTTAGGAAAAGAAAGGTTGAAGTAGACTGTGCTAGAAAGAGAAAAGACAACTGTGATCTTTGATTCCATTATGAGATCCTCAGTACTGGCTTACAGTAATGGCTGATGAGAGAGTAGAAGGGAGAAAGGGAAGTTACCTTCCATTAGTTTGTTTTAAATTTTGTATGACCAGCAGTCTAGTGTGCAGAATATGCAGAGAGAGTACCTCATCTAGCATAAATTGTAATAGCCTGGGTGGCTGTCACTGCATATACGTGCAAAAAAAAGCTGCCCTCTTGTCAATTAGCTTTGAAGTATATATTCAAGTTTCAGTTGCAGATATACACAAAACTCACTGGTATTTAAATCCAGTAATGATTGAAGATGTGGAGGTACTGAACCAGTATTTAATAGTCTCACCAATGTCTCCTTCTAAAGGAAGATATACCAGCCAGGTGCACTGCCTGTTAGCCATTGTAGCAAAGGTGAATGCATGGTGCAAATGCTGCAAGGGGGATGTGTCCTGGGAAGGATGGTCAGGTGAGGTCCAACGCAACTTAGCTGCTTCCTTGCATTGTATTCTTTCTGTCATTGCAAGAACACAAATAAGATTGTGTCTTCTTACTAATTCAAGCCTTCATGTTGTAATTAGCCATGATGAATTATGTGTGAAACTTTGAGGTATTTCTGGACCTATTAAAATGAGAAAAATCCTCAAAATGCACAAATAAGATTAAACCATTTTGCCCCTTCATTGCAACAAGTATGCAGATATTTTGTGGTACATTAACAGTGTAAAGTATTCACTTACTTCTACCACTGCATAGGCTTCAAATTTTAACTTGCTCTTTAGGTTCCTTGGAGCTTTCAACATCGCTTGCAACCAGTTGTCAAGATTTGATATCTTAAATACAGTTCCCAAACCAACTCCGTGTTTGCAGCTTTATGGCATAGCAAAAATGTGATTAACTGAATGTCTGCAGATTGATCTGAAATGAAATTCTGGCATGAGTAGTGCCAGCAGATTTTTATTTAGTCTTTCTATAAATTCAGATATGTTTAGATTATAATAAAGTGGTTGACACTAGGCTGCCTGGCTCAAATTTCCCTGAGGTGAGGGAAAGAAACGACTTGTTTCTTTGATTTAACATAGTGATTGGTTGTAATGCTTCACCTACAACTGGACTCCAGCCATGAGAAGGACAGTTGAAAATCTGTATCAGTGGGGCCCTACAGCTCAATGATTCTGAAAAGGCCAGCAAATGTGAGCTTTGACTGCATTGTTGGTCTTCTCATTTCTCCAGCAGGAAGTACAGTGTGAAAGGTTAATGTAGCATAGGGATGAAGAGCTTTGGTTCAAGTGGTTTAAGGAAATGCTGCTTCAAACTTTTGGAAACCCTGGAGAAGGTCACACGGGAGTCAGCGCTCAGGCGGTCACACTTTCTGATCTGGCCAAATGACTGACTGAGAGTCTGGATGTAAATCTACTAAATCTCACAGGACAGGAAGTACTCCAGTAAATGCAAGACAAGCAGCTAGAGGACACGAGCAATTTTGTGTGGATTATTCCAGTGCATTACATGAAATGTAATTTTGAGTATTAAAACTGCTTTTGTTGCAAAAGTTGTATTACGTGCAAAGTTACAAGATGAGTCTCATTAAAAAAATCTGTCTAAATTAAAGGGACCAAAACCAACCTTGGATAAAAATGTATTAATCTGAAAAATATCTTAAGTTATGGACTGTAAAGCAGAGGGTTAAAATATTTTGTTCTATTTTAACAGAAGAGTATGAGCCTAGGACATGTAATGTTTAAATGGTGTAGTACTTTGCCTCTCATTCTTTAAGAAGAGAACTCACTCCAACAGGTCTCAAGTATGAGGACACTGAGTTCTGCAACCCTACATTTTTCACAGCATAAATTACAGTAGTATATATTAAAAGAAGAGAAGAAGAATTGAGAATTAATTAAAATAACTTTATATTTCTGGAACAGCTTTTTGTTTAAACTTCTGTTATGTTTTGCAAATCAATCATATGGAAAGAAAATGAAAAAATGACACTAGCTACACAAGTAGTTTATTATGTAAATGGACAGTATGGAACAACAACAATAATACATATTTCCACTTCAACTTTTAGTTAACTTCTGTTACAAATTTGTTTACTCAGTGAAATGCAGCTTTTACAAGTATGTATTTTCAATGTTTCAGACTGTAGGGACTTAAAGCCTAGCTCTCTGTTGGGAATTAAAAGAGTTGTTGTAGTGGGAGAGAATAACTTCAGTGAAAGATGCTGAGTGGAATTTTTTGTTTGTTTTGATTGGGATCTGTTCCATTACAATTGATCCTGTCATATTTTTGATCCTGTGATTCTGTAGCCTGTCTTTCACTTTCCTGAGTACTTGAACTTCAAGTATTTGTGAATTTGTAGTAATTTATATAAAAATATATATGATTATGAATTGGTTTTATGCACAATTGTTTATAATAGTTTATATATAAATTAGGTAATTATGAATTGGCTTTAATTAGTGTCCAGAAGTTAAGTGGGATAAAGGTAAACCTAAATTTTAGTGAGTCAGTAGTACTCATACTTCTAAGGTAGTGCTCTGCTGAAGTGTATGGATAAAGTGATCTTCATTAGGATAGATACCTGCTGCCTGAGACAGAGACACATTGGCTGGAAAATGGGTAGGACATGTAGAAGTCCGATGCACCTTTCTTTCTACTGTTTCCTTCTGATTGGGGTGCTAAAAAGCCAAGCTGCCTTCTGCTTGTGTTGCTGCCTGTGAAGGGGTGGGATATACCACGGATAGATGTAGTTTAAGGATGGACAGCCCCAGCTAGCAGCAAATGCTGCTTCCCTCTTCCCCGCACTTGCAGCAGGAGCAGCAAGCCATCGGTGCTCACCAGCTTTTTCTCTTCCATTTGGTTGTCCGTTTCCAGTTTCACAATGAGCTGAAACTGTCATTCTTGGAGCTGTAAAATCCAGCTGTGCCTGTTACACTGAAAAATCTTGACTCTGGTAATAAGAATAGTAGAAGATGAGTGCATTATTCTACAGTTTTGTATGTTGATAAAACATATACATTTGGCTGCTTAAGGGGGTTAAATGTATATTTGTATCTTTAAAGAATACTTCATGTTACGATTTGGAGGTGACATTCAGCAACCTCATGTTTAGTATAAGCAAGGGTTTTCCTTTTTTAATAGTAATGCATTGTAAAAGCAAAATGCTGTGTTTCTGTTAGGTAGTCAGAACTTACTGTTTTCTGAGCCCCAAATTGTTAAAATTAAGTGTATATGGTGCTTCTATGGTCCACCAGGCTTTATGTTAAGGTTCAAGAACTCATTTTGTTGCTGCTAAACGAGGGTTGCCTCCAGGATGGTTAGAAGTGACCCCATCAGTCTGTTGCCGCACAGACTTGTGAGGCCTGTCCCTAAAGACAGCCTGGTTGATTACCTGCGTGTTCCAATTCCAAGAACAATGTCTCTCACAAAGCAGAATGAGGAGAGGTGGAAATGAATACTTCGCATTTACTGAAGATGTTTCCTACCCTCAGTAGACCCACAAAAATACCGTAACAATGTGTTACAGAAGAATCTTTTCCTGAATTTTTAAAGGATTTTTGTTTGGATCAGGCTTCTAGTCATCTTAAATAGTTGGAGAGTCTTTACTCCTTTAAAACTGGGGGGGAAGGGGGCTGGGATTATTTACTAAACAATGACACTCAAAATCAGGGTCAGCTTCATCTTTTTACACTGTAGCATATCTAACTGAGATTGAGGGTATTTCATTTCTCAGGTGACAAACTTGCTTGGCAAGGATCTGTGCTTTTTGATGTTCCCTGTTCAACACCTTCTGAAAAGTGCACCCTTTTAATGACGTGTCAGGAACTGCTGGCAAGCTCTTAGTTTTGTTTTGCTGATAGCTTATAGTCACATGATTCAGCAGTAGTTTTGTTAGTCCTGGTAGTACAGTATCACAACTGTACCATTTGAGCTAGAATTCCTGGAAAAAATGTTGAAAATTCATCCTTTAGGGGAGTTACCCATGGTTGTTTAGAATCCTTTAATTTTCCATGAGCATATTTACTAAAATGTTAATGATTTGAACCATTATTTTCCTTCAAGATGACTTGGGAAAAGTTAGACACAGGTTCTGCAGGAGCAACAGTCTGAAGACATTGGAAACAGTCTGAAGAAATCTGGAGCATATTCTGCCTAAAAGCAAAGTATTGACCTCCTGAATACTGGTTTCTACATGGTATAGCTTTGCAAACCTGATCTTTTTTTATTCAGAGTATCACATTTTGTCCTTTTAATCTTTCAGGGACCCGTATCACACAATCGCCGCAATCAATCCAGAGAAATTAAATATATTCCAAACAGTGAGAGAGATAACAGGTAACACATTTGTGATTTCGTGTAATCTGAACTTCTCACTTGGCATTTATCGTTGTCTTTTCTTGGGTTTTCTGAAGAACACGGGGTGCTTTTTTCTTTAAAATCACCATGCTGTAAATTTCATAAAATTAAGAAGTTTGTTATCAGTATCAGTTGATATTCACAATGTGTTGTCCTTTGCTCAGGAATACAGAATACCCATCACATTTGGGGTACACAAGCATCAGAAGACCAAGACCTTACTGTTGAGTAGTCGAGGGGTCTTGGTCTTCACTTGAAAACATTTTAAATATGCCTCGGGAAAAAACAGACAAGCCAATCTGGTTTTGCAGCTACTTCTCTTGATATAACAGCAGATGCTGCTGCAAATTATCTTCTGTTATTTAAAGAAAAATGTATAACGTGTGGGGTGGTAGTCCCATCTTTTATGTCTTTTCAGTGGGGTCATATAGCTAGAACTCAGTACTTCATTTTCTTGCATCTTGCTTCTTGTTTCACCATTTGGGGGAGAGGGAGGAAGATATTACAGCTTTGAGTTCTCGAATGATTGCTGATTATGTATAGATAGAGAAATTAAAAAAAAATCCTATTTCATGCACACAAAAAAATCTTTGGATGCTACAGCATGATTGTAACTGGGTGAAGCTCAACAAGTGTTTGGCATTTAAATGAGTTCTATCCCACGTGCATCACGTCTCAAAAGTTGTGTATTTCAGCAAACCAGTGTGATTAAAAAATGAAAGTAAGCTCTAGATCTCCCCCTAATTAATGTCAAAGATAATCTGGCATCTGGGTGGCTGTAGTTCGCTATTCTTAAGCCCACTGTCCAATTGACAGTCTCAGTTTTGCTACTTAAGTGGAATTACCCCTGTGCTTAAAGATGTACTGCATTTCAGTCCAGTACTGAATCAAAGTCATAGGGAATTACACTCTGTAGAGGTCTCTTAGCACAAAATAAGTAGTCCCGCGTACTCATACAGAGAATGCTCTCTGGTGATGAACAGTCCTCACACACACACTCACTCAGAAACGAATGCAAGTTCTTTGTTTCAGGGAAGTCTTGTCATCTTTTAGTGCATCACAACGGATTTCTCAACTTCTGTCCTCAGTCTCTAGCACATTTTAAAACTATATGCTCTTAATTCAGCAAATCACCGTATTTTTCTGCTGCTGCTGTTTAGAAAAGGCTGGGAGGCCTTGCAAGATATCAGCCTGTGTTTATGTTCACCCTCACTGTGGCTGTTGAAAGTGGACATAATGCTGCTGTGACTGTTAAAGTCCTCCTTTGTCTTTGGTGAGCAGCCTGATGAATTCAAAGACAGGCTGCAGCGTTCATTACCTGTTTATTTCTTTTTCTCAAACCATCGCTGTCTTTCATGTATAGGCTAAGCCTATCCCAGTTCACGTATGTGATAAAGCAGTCTTTATGGCTGAAGTCATTGATGTTCATATGCATGCCTTTTTCTCCTTCAGGGTATTTGAACATACAGTCATGGCCTGAGAATATGACCGATTTCAGGGTGTTTTCTAACTTGGTTACTATCGGTGGAAGAGCTCTCTATAGGTAAGGTACTTCCTTTGTTGATGGAATCATTTTTTACTAGTATTCAGTGATTCTTTGCTCAGTAGCACAGAATGCAGCATCCTTTGGGAAAGCCATCATAAATTGATATGTTCTTCTCTGTTAACAAGGTATTATTAGCAGTATCTTTGCTAATCAGTTGTTATGGGTAATACCTTTTGAACATAACAATTTTTTAAAAAAACAAACAACATCATGGTTCATTGCTGTAGCTGTTAACTCATTGGAAGGTACATATGGTTTAAAATAACTTTTGAATGTGAAACATAACTTGAAAGACATTAATAGTAGAACTTAGCCCCCTTATCAGGACTTAGCCCCCTTATCAGGACTTAGCCCCCTTATCAGGACATTTATATGGTTGAGATTGGATGTGCAGGCTCATATGCCCAAAGAACAATGTGGTCTTAAGAAATTATAAAATATAAATTCATGGAAGAACACTGAAATCACTGAGGTACCTTGCAGGTGGGGTGTACATAAGCTCTGTAGTGCCATTTTTACCAGAGGTGTTTCCATATGAAAACTCGTATGGAGGAATTGGTTTGAAGAGAAGAAAATGTGGTGAGAAATAATGAGGGGAGCACAAGAAGGTATCTGAATACAGCACCCCCTGGTTCCCCATGCTGTAAATATAGTACATCATCCATGGGATTCTGCTGGCATCTTAAACAGCAACCCAAGCAGATTATGAATAGCACTGAAACCTTGAGATTGAATTACAGCCCAACATTCTGTTTGGAAGCAGCAATCTTTATTTGGAACAGCTGGAAAACAATTATAACCATTAAAATACAATAACTTAAAGGATGCCCAGAAACTGGATATTGTCTTCACTAATCTTTAGTCATAAAATATGTACAGTCATTTCTGCGTTACACAGACAATCATTTACCATTCCTTTGATGAAGAAAGGAGATAACCACATATTACAACAAAAGAAAAATGAAATGTATAAAGTGGGCTGGAAAAATTTCCTTGAAAATAACAATTTCTTCCTGTATTACTATAAATGACATTAATTTGATGCCTGACAGAAGATGTTAATACATTTTGGATGACTTTGTCAGTTTCTCCTTAGCATATGAACTATCATAGTATCAATTCTGTTGTCTTAGGGAAAAAAAATAATCTGGATTTTATTCAGTTTTCTCAACAGCACTTTATCTGAAAAACATGTTAATGGATAAAATGGAATTAGTTCAGGTGTTTTGCTGGTCCAGTTGGCCTAGTGTTGTGACCATCACAGCTTGCAGTATCACAGGTCTCACAGGGCTCATAATTTTCTAGGCAACAGAACTGGATGTTGACTCATAAAATACTTGTGTCACCCCAAAAATAGCTTTTCTGACCAAATTTCAGTTTGCCAGAAAGATGATCGTGACATTAGGAACTAATTCTAGTGGGAAATTCCCAACCAGCTCTGAAAACTTCTGCCTTCTGGAGCTAATTCATGTTATCTCTTTTGTTTTCATTACAGTGGCCTTTCCTTACTCATCCTAAAGCAACAAGGCATTACCTCTCTGCAGTTTCAGTCCTTGAAGCAAATCAGTGCTGGCAACATCTACATAACAGACAACAGCAATTTGTGCTACTACCACACTGTCAACTGGACCAGTCTCTTCAGCACACCCAGTCAGAAGACGGTAATTCATCGAAATAAAAAGGCAGAGAACTGCAGTAAGTACTACTGCTCAGTGCAAATTTTCTTGCGTATGATTAGCTCACATGGGGGAAAAATGATACAGCTACTGACAGGATACAGTGTAGTGAGCAGGCCAGAAACTCAGCTGTTGTCTCTTGGAGCTCCATGGACATCAGTGGAGCTATGGTCAATTACAGACTCTAAGAATTTGTCCCAGTCTGCCTCTGAGAAGATGTATAGGCAAATGAAATGCTTAAAGGTATGAACAAATGAAAGGGAGATGAGAGAGGGCACTGCTTCCTTACCGTGATGTGAACTTCCCAGATTAGAGATCAAGTTTCACAAATATCAATTCTGAACACCATAAATGTGGAGCGAAAGTAGTGTTCATGAAAGGCACTGATTTTACAGATTTGAAAACTACAGCCCTTTCTTTATGGAGTGAGATTAGCATCTTTTTCTTCCCCTATCCTTCTTCACCAAAGTGGCCCTGTCTTAATCCAGAAAGGTGACTTTTGGGACTGTTTTTGATCACTAGGTTCCTCCTTTCTGTACTTGACCTATCTGATAAGGAAGATTCATTTTAATTGGGCCTAATTGTCTTTCAGGAAGGCTTATGTGCCCGTACCTGGACTGAGGTCATAGTACTGAAAAGCAAAGGAATGCTATGTGGCAGATGAAACAATTTGGTTATGCAGAAATCAGGCAGCAAATTGCATTAATACAGTCATTTTGTAGGAGCAATACAGTTCACTTTAAGCATCTGTTAGACTGCTAGCAAGAGAGGAGATTCATTAAATTACTATATGTTTAAGGTGATATTTCTGTGTTTTGTGCTTTGACCAGCCACAAATGTTTGCATTGGGGTTTTTTTTCAGGCTGTGGTCCTACTCTTAGCTTTTTTTTCTTTTTTTCTTTCTTTATTTTTTCCCCTTCCCTTTGAAGTACTATTCTGTTATGCTTTGAGAGAATCTGGGGCTGTGCTCATCACTGTAGTACGAGTATGTAGTATTCCAGTGTTAGGTGAAATAGAACTATACATTTATCACTGCTGCTCAGCTATTTTTCTAATCTCTTCTGCCATGTAAGAGCTACATGAAGTGGAAAGTCTTGTTTGGTAGGTCTCTGCATGGGTTTGGTTTGCTTTTTGTTGTTGTTGTGATTATTACTATTGTTTGGCTCTTTCTGTACATAAAAGTTAAAGAAGTGAAGGTTAAAGAAATGCCTCTTGCGGTTGATACAGATAATTTAATTGTGGCTGGGCCTGAGGGTATAGAGGGAAAGGGTTGTTTCTTAATGTCCAGCAGACCACTGCCTGCTTTTAAACTGCAGCATACTTTATCATTTGATGTAAACATCCTGTTATGTGAGACAGAAGGATGTGTTGAATGAAACTTTTCTTGGTAGAAGTTTATGTGTGTATTTGTAAAAGATGTCCTTGGTGTAGGCAGTTAAACTATGGATTAGACCCTTACATGTGGTAGAACATTTTGTGGGAAGGCAGTACAGAAGGTGGAGGAGAGATGTAGTGTCTGCTGCTACTTCTGTGGTGAGGAAGTGCACAAGGGTGTCCTGTGTCTTGAACAGCTTCATGCCCTGGTGTCCTTATTGCTCTAACCCAGCCAAAGGCATGAGTAAATGAATCCAAGTGGTTGTCTGTGAGAGTAGCATAGCTCTTTTCATCATCCAGAGATGATCAAACATGTGATGATAATACCCTGTGGGAATGAAAGCGTTGATAAAATGTTCAAAAGTAGTCCTGAATAATGAAATGAGTTAACCAGTTACAGGACAAAGAAAGTTGCATGGTCTTTATTTTCAACACCCAACTTTATCTTGTTCTGGATTAGCTCTAGTTGTTCAACATCCATGAGCTTTGTACCATCTTAATGTTCTCTTGGGTTTTTTTGTTTTTTCCATCTCAAAGCTTTTTCTTTGCTTTGAGTTCTTCTGAGTGGAATATTATTTGAACATTGAGTCAGAGCAGCCTTGTAAAGGAAAAGCATGTATTTTCTGGCACTGTCAGATCCTTAGAAACTTGGAGGAAAGCTTCTGACTTCCCATGAATAATTACTGCCTTCAGTCCTGCCAGCTAGAGCATTTGTAGATGGCTTGTAGTTCCAGTATGCACTCTTTTTCCTGCTCTCCCCCTTTGCTCCCACCCAGCAAAGCCTACTATGAAAAATGGTATATAATTTGGCAAATAGAATGCCAAGAAGGAGAATCACATCTGCCCAGGGATCATGAATTGCTAATTGCTTTTCCTTGATAGTGTTGGAGTGGTATAGGATCAAGTGATGGGGAAGAACCTAGTTCTGTGATAGCAGTCTAGTAACAAGTGCATTTTGTATGTCATGACAGGGAAGAATTAGCCCTTTGAGGTTTCACATAAGGAATTTCGACTGACAGAACAGAATCTGTCTGAAGAAGCACAAGGTCTTGATGACTGTGCAAGAATCACTAGGGTTATATTCCAGGATCCTAGTGGTCCCATCTTGCTGTGAGATACATGAACCTGTGAACCTTCCAGAGGGCACAAGATTCTTCTCTTCCATAGGAAAAACTGCTGACTGGGGGAGAAACATCTTGCTTTTGATGCTCTTTGATGTTTTCTACCAGCAGATTGGCTATAGCTGTCTGATAATGATGCATCATTTAATGAAAGAACAACCAGCTGTCTTGCGTTGCTAGAGATTTAGTGTAAAAATAAAATAAGCAGTAATAGGATAGAACATAGGCCCCATGTCTCATACAGTAGTACTACTTCTTTGCTTAAGCTCTCTATAATTTATGATATGTTAGAAGACAGTGGAAAACCACTCAGGTAAACTTCCTAAGGTGCTTTTCCCTTCATGGAATAGTGTCCCTTTTGTTTCACTGGTTTTGAGAGCTTGGGGACATAGCTGAACACAGTAGTTTCATAGAATCATAGAATCATAGAATGTTTAGGGTTGGAAGGGACCACTAGTGGTCATCTAGTCCAACCCCCCTGCAGTGAGCAGGGACACTGCTAACTAGATCAGGTTGCTCAGAGCCCCATCCAACCTGGCCTTGAATGTTCCCAGGGATGGGGCCTCCACTACCTCTCTGGGCAACCTGTTCCAGTGTTTTACCACCCTCATTGTAAAAAATTTCTTCCTTACCTCTAGCCTGAACCTACCCTGTTCTAGTTTAAAACCATTTCCCCTTGTCCTAACACAGCTGGCCCTACTAAAAAGACGTTCCCCATCTTTCCTATAGGCCCCCTTTAGGTACTGGAAGGCCGCAATCAGGTCTCCCCGTAGCCTCCTTTTCTCCAGACTGAACAAGCCCAACTCTCTCAGCCTGTCCTCATAGGAGAGGTGCTCCAGCCCTCGGATCATTTTTGTAGCCCTCCTCTGGACCCGTTCCAACAGTTCCATGTCCTTCTTGTGCTGAGGGCTCCAGAGCTGGACGCAGTACTCCAGGTGAGGTCTCACCAGAGCTGAGTAGAGGGGCAGAATCACCTCCCTCGACCTGCTGGCCACGCTTCTCCTGATGCAGCCCAGAGTACGGTTGGCCTTCTGGGCTGCCAGCGCACATTGCCGAGTTTGGAAGATACTCCCATATTACTTGTCAGGACTCCTTTGTCAAATACCTCTTTGCCCTTTCCTGTGATTGCTAAGTTTGAGTCCCATTGAAGCAGCCACAACTACTGACTGTAGGCTTCCAGGGCAAACGGAAATTTGGATATACTGTTACATCATCCTCTTGCACTGTATGTTTTGTCACTACATTTGCACACAAAGGGAAAATGTAAGCTTTATTTGGCTTTTACAGTGTTGAGTATTTGTTATAATAAAGACTCATCATTTTCCAGGAAGAAAAATACTCCTAAAGAGTGAAAATTTAACACCAAGGGAATCTTCATGAGGAAAACAAATCTCATTCATTTCATTTTAAGAAGTCACAATGTAAGCTGCAGTACAAAGGCACTAGTTTTAAAAGTGGACTCTAACCTGTTCATTAAATGGATGGTATATAATGAACGTAGGCTAGGAGCCAAGTTACTCCAATCAGAAGGCAGTGTCTTAGTTGACTTCCTGAATCCTAACAGGGAGCAGTGGTTTTCTGTCTCTATGCACATCTGTGTGAATGAATTGATTAATGTTTTGTGGCCATTTGAGAGTCAGCATTAGATGAAAAGAGCTATCCTGCTGCTTCAACTCTGTCTGTCAGTCAGCACCTCTCTGGAGTTCAAGGGGTTCTGCTGCAGGTTAGATGTCTAACTAAAATCTTCACAATTACTTGGAGTAAGGCAGAACTGTTCCTTAGAGCCAGGTGCATTTCTACAGCATCCTTTGAAACATCTGTGATTTTCAGGATAGGCCAACAGACTGGGGTTTAGGAGAATTTTCTCTGGATCTTCCGCTGTCTGAATGTTTGGCATCTGAGGACAAGCCTCTAGGGTTTCACTTTCTGCCTTTCAGTTATTTTGTCTGTTCTGGACCCTAATCCTGCAGATGCTGGGGCAGATGCCTATGCCTCTCTGAGTGACAAATAAGACTAATTACAATGGGGAAGGGAAATGCATAAGTGAATATTTGCAGTATCAGAATCCATCCTCTATGGTAGAAATACTGTCTGCTTGCATGGTAACTAGCAGGGTATGAATTGTTAATAAATATCCATTAAAGATTTTTTTCACATGGTTTCCAGAGAAGAAACCAGTCTAGACCATGTTAATTATTACAGCCACTTTCAGGTGTGTTTATTATTATTCCTTTGTATGTTTTGAATCACTATCAGCTTGGTTTTGCTTTAGTCACTACCTAGTAATAGTTAATGGCTTAAAGCAAGTTACAGCTAACATTTAATATCCATGTGTAGCTTTTCTTAAAATTCATGTAAGAGCTTCCAAGATCTAGTCAGCATCATATTTAAGTGACTTCTAGGATATATCACGAGATGGCAATAGCTTTTCCATACCATCTACTGCTGTCTTCAGCTGACTGTATAAGTCAGTGAGGAAATATTAAAAAAATTTTTGAGGGAGTAAAATTTTTGTTGAAAAGTT